AAGAGAGAGAGAGAGAGAGAGAGAGAGGCTAGGGTGTACCATAATACTTATTGCATCAACAAAGCTGATACCGGTATTTCAGATAACATTAAAGTTTATCCTAAAAGCTGAAGTGTTTTCATATTGTTCAAAACTAGGCATAACTGGTTATTTCGGGTCCAACATATTAGGAAAAGCTGTTTGATCTCTTGCCATAGTGGTAAGGTGTCAGGAGAGAGAAATTTGGGTGGGAACATGTTCTAATTGTTTAGAAACTACCCTGCAAATCTTTTTTTTCTTTAAAAAACATCTTCACGAGAGAGACTTCTGTACTGATTGAATACTTAAAAACACAAGAGAGAGAATAAGAATGGAAGTTTAGTGGTCCAAATATGGTTATATAAGACCGAGAGAATCCGTTAGAGTTAGAACGGTGTGATGGTTGAGAGACTTTCTCCTTAATTTTTTGACCAAAAGAGTTGAATTATTGCCAAAAAAAGCCTATTATGGAAATGCACATGCTTGGTACTAAGCTTAAGGCATTAATTTATACTATGTGAATGTGTGCAGGTGAAGCTGTGTACGTTGATGATATCCCTTCCCCAAAGGACTGCCTTCATGGGGCACTTGTATATAGCAGAAAACCTTTTGCCCACATAAAACATATTGAAGTTGAATCTGCTTTAGCTTCTCCAGGAGTGGTTTCCTTTGTTTCAGTCAAAGATATACCAAAAGGAGGACAAAATGTAGGACTTCAAGCATTTTTTGGCGAGGAACCTATATTTGCTGATGATCTTACTGAATACTCCGGCCAACCCCTTGGAGTCATGGTAATCACTTTTTTCTTTTTCTTTGTCATATTTATTTATAGATGAAACATACTATACTACGATCATAGTATATTTTGTGAAAACAATCTAACAAATTGATGATCAGTGATGGAGAGAGGCTTAGATCCACCACAACAGGATATGAGCCAAACAGTGGTTACACTCTGTATCATTGTCCATTATTTCATTGGGCAGTGAGGACCCGAACTTGGACAGGATATGGTTTTCCGTTGTTCATTGGGTTAAAGTATAGTTCCCCTCCTTTGCAAGTAGTACAAATATACTGATAGAATGGTATGATGGGCATTTGATTCATCTTCTGATATAGTGGTTTTTAACCATTTTAGTTAACTTATCTTTTGTTTAGGTAGCAGAGACTCGGAAACTTGCAAAAGCAGCTGCTGATCAAGTGAAGGTATCCTATGATACACAAGGTTTAGAGCCACCTATTTTATCAGTAGAAGAGGCTATCGCGAGATCTAGCCTTTTTGAGATCCCACCATCTCTTATTCCAAAACAAGTGGGTGATTTTTCGAAAGGGATGGCTGAAGCAGATTACAAGATCCTTTCTTCTAGGGTACGTCTTTTGATCATTTGAAGCATGTAATTTCTATGTGCAGATAAAGGAAAATATACTGATCTAATGGACTATGGAAGACCATGGTCTGCTGGGGTCATCAATCCCTTGAAAAATTGTGTGTTGATGGAGATAGAGTGGTCTCCTCTGGTGGGTCCCACCTTCTCTAGATCACTGTCCGTCAGATGATTAGACAGTGATGACGCCTATGGGGACTTTGATCTTCCATTCTCTACAAGATTGCATGTATGTATGTATGTATATGGGGGGGGGGGAGAGAGAGAGATTCTTGGTTTTTTAATGACATTTTCTGGTAATATACAGGTCGAAACTGGATCACAATACTATTTCTATATGGAAACTCAGACAGCAATGGCAATCCCTGATGAAGATAATTGCATAACTGTTTACACCTCAACTCAACTGGCTGAGAGTGCCCAGGTCACAATCGCCAAATGCCTTGGTATTCCAGAGCATAATGTGCGTATCATTACGAGAAGAGTAGGAGGGGGGTTCGGAGGAAAGGGCACAAGAGCAAATCTAGTGAGTACAAATCATGGAACTCAAACTGCAAATCAATTGGTTTCTTGTCCTATATGTATACCACTAACTACCTATAATTTGGTAACTTTTTTCACTAGGATTTGGTAATTTCAACATGAATCCTTCTTGAAGAGATAATGATTAAATTCTTGAAGTGGCTATGTTTTACATGATGACTAAATGCATCTCTTATGTGGCAGCCATTCTATATATTTTTTTGGTTTTCTCATGGCATTAGAATTCTAAACTCTTGATACATTGTTTCTTTTCAACACTAGTAATCGATTTTTTTTAACGCTTCTCACATAATTCCAAAAATATCATAAATTCCCTAAACCATTTTTGAAACTGGACATGTTCCATAAAATCATTGAAAAAAATCCATACCCTTGTAAATATGATTCTCTTCAGTTATAAGTTTTTCCCCGTCTCTGATCAATTTTGGCAGTTCATGTCATTGGTTTGTCTCTTAAATCTTAATCCTTTTGTGGGTAACCCTTATCAAGGAGATTTACAAAAGAAATATCCAAAAAATATAATAACGAATAAAACTATTTTATCATTCAGGTTGCAGCGGCTTGCGCAGTATCAGCATTCAAGTTTCGTCGCCCGGTTCGCATGTATCTCGATCGACAAACAGATATGATAACGGTTGGGTCCCGACACCCATTGAAGATGTTCTACACTGTAGGATTCAAAGTCGATGGGAAAATCACAGCTCTGCATGTGGACTGTTTCCTCGATGCTGGATATTCAGTTGAACTAAGCCCCCTCATCACCTCCACCATAACTGCAGCACTAAAAAAATACAATTATGGAGCCCTTTCTTTAAACTTTAAGATTTGCAAAACCAACTTCCCAAGCAAATCAGCCATGAGAGCACCTGGAGATGTACAGGGTGCCTTCTTAGCTGAAACCATCATTGAACATGTGGCATCTACTCTCTCTATGGATGCCAAGTCCATTCGAGAAAAGAATCTCCACAACTTTGAAAGTCTCAAGTTGTTCTATGGTCCTTGCGCAGGTGACAAACTTGGTTACACTTTGCCTCTAACTTTGGAGAGGTTGGTTTTGTTTTCAAATTTTAACCAAAGAACTGAAGAAATTCGAGAGTTTAATACCACAAATAGATGGAGAAAGAGGGGGATGTCAATTTCGCCAATTATTTATGAAGTCACCGTGAGGCCCACTCCAGGTAAAGTGAGCATTTTAAATGATGGCTCAATAGTTGTTGAGGTTGGAGGGATTGAATTAGGACAGGGGCTCTGGACCAAAGTTAAACAAATGACTGCATTTGCCCTCGGTCAGCTATGGAAGGATGGGAATGATGAGCTATATGAGAGGGTAAGGGTTGTCCAAGCCGATACGATAAGTATGGTGCAAGGAGGGTTCACAGGGGGGAGCACCACATCTGAATCAAGCTGTGAAGCTGTTAGAGTTGCTTGTGTTGTTTTGGTCGAAAGGCTTTCACCAATCAAAAAGAAATTGTTAGAGAACGCACAAGAAGTTGCATGGGATGCTCTGGTTAAACAGGTGAGTAAAGAAAATGTTCCAAATGGTTGTAAGTGGTTCAATGAATTGGGTTTCATGAGAAGTCCTATTGAGAAATGAGAAACGAAATACTAAGTACATATATCAGGGACAAAGAAGAACAAAAGAATTAGAAAGAAAACTAAAATAGACCAAAGAAATGCAGGGGAAATATGGGCTGTTTTATTTTCATATCATGGGAATTTTGTCTGATTCAGTTTGCTGTCGTGGATTCCTTTATTTTCTTATTTAATCATCCATCTTAGTATATAGCATACTGTGAGATCAAAATCAACCTAGCCATTTATGTCTTGTTCTTTCATTTTGTGGTAGGCATATTTCCAATCAGTGAACATGTCTGCAAATGCATACTGGGTTCCTGATTCAATCTCAAGTCAATATCTAAATTATGGCGCTGCTGCAAGTGAGGTATATGTCTGTTCTGATATTTTCTGTTTGTTAACCTTTGATGTGAGGAGTTTCTGAATTTAGACACAATAAATAACTGATATGAATTGCATATATTGCAGGTGGAAATAAATCTTCTTACAGGAGCTACGATGATTTTACGAACTGATATTGTCTATGACTGTGGGAGGAGCTTGAACCCTGCTATGGATATCGGACAGGTTGGTCCAACTACATAGAAAACAGGCTTATGCCACAGTATAAGCCCATTAGGTTAAAGGATCCTTTTTAAAGCATTGTATATACTATAAGACCATTCACTTTTGGAAAGAGGAGATCATAATTACTCTTAGCCATTGCATGTGAAATCCGACATATTGAAGTATGTCACTCCGTTTGAGAAATTTTAGTTTAGACATTTTGTCCGATCAATGACACATCCCCCACCAAACAACTTATCTATGTTACCTTTGAAAGTCATAACCTGTTTCTAAAGATGGGTTCCGTGGTGTTTTTTTATTCTTAGATTGAAGGAGCTTTTGTCCAAGGAATTGGATTCTTCATACTCGAAGAGCATGTCGTGGACTCTGATGGAATGGTAACATCTGATGGGACATGGACCTATAAGATCCCCATTGTTGACACCATACCCAAACAATTTAATGTAGAGATGCTAAGCAGTGGCCATCACCAAAACAGAGTTCTCTCATCCAAAGGTTAGGGTCCTAAAATTATACTCAAGATATTAGTAATCTTCTGTGTTTTTCTTTTTGGATGTGCGTTTATGTTATTTCTTCTGAAGTGACTACTTTCCATGCAAGAGGAAATGAATAATTTTAGATGCACCTTATACATTTTAATTGGGAATTAGCACCCTCAACTGAAATAGTTAAGATTGTATCTGGCCTATATAAAGCAGTTGTATCATCTTATGGAATTTTTTTTTCAAGTCGACCTATTTTCTCCAAGAAATTTCCATAAGCCCACTTACAAAATTACTAGAATTCATAATAAGGTCATTTGGGGTGTTATGATATTGGATATGTATGTTTATATACAGGAATGTCTATCTCGTGTTTTCTTTCTTTCTTTTTGTTTTCTTTTTTTTTTAATGTTCTTCTGCAATTTTCTTTGATGAGATTCTCACATGAATAAATCTCTAATTGGGTTCGGATATAAATATAATTGGTTTGCAGCATCTGGAGAACCACCATTACTATTGGCTGGTACAGTTCACTGTGCTATTAGGGAGGCCATTAAAGAGGCTAGAAAAGATCTTCATTCATATAAAAGTTGCTCAAATGAAATCATTGGGGAAGAATGTTCAGCCACCTTTAGAATGGATACCCCTGCAACCATGGATGTGGTGAAGAAGCTATGTGGGTTGGACAATGTTGAGAAATATTTACAAAGTTTGGTTCATCACCATTGAGAAGCTCTCTCTCGTTCATCATCATGATTATCTCTCTGTGTGTTTTTATGTTTGTGTTGTTGCATGTGTATTGAATGTATTCACAGTAGCTTGCTCATTGTGTCCATAGATAAGAAGAAAACTTATGTTCAGTATTATAAAGGATGTTACTGTGATTGTAGACAATGAGAAATTACATTTTGTTTACTCAGGTCACAAACACCCCAATTTTCTAAATGTAATATTGGACGGCTGTGGTGTAACGTTTCTCTACACAAAAACCAATGAATTTTTTCTCGGACCTATGTTTGGTACCATCAAATGTAAAATCAAGCAACTAGTTGTCACATGTGAAATCAGGTGGTCATTGTTTCTTGGCTTAAAATTTCAGAAACAATTGCCGACTCCAAGCACAATCAATAGCACATCCCAACCATCCAAATTCACTTCTAGTATCTAGGAGTAATTGTGACCTCTTTGTATGGAAGGTACACAGTCTTATTAAATACTTTTCTTTTCTTTTCTTTTTTCCATAAAAGGTTTGACGGAGCAGTTTTGGGCATGTAATTGAATTAGCAATGAAGTTATTTTAGTTAAAGTTATTTTATGATTTAAGCTGTTTTTGGTCGTAATGATATACTTGAAAAATCATGTAAAAGGCCATTAATTGAAAAATATTATTCCATATGGGGGAACTTAAAGGAAATTACAAGGATTGGTTGTATTTTCAGAAGAGACGATGAGTTTGGTGAATGGGCATTTTCTTAAATAATTTGAAGTATTCAATTAAGAAAATTTAAGACCCTTTTTAATTTATTTTTCTCAATAACTATATGCTAGAAAAGTTTTATTCAAGGGAAATAAAGTAGGAAGTATACAATAAGGATATTTACTAAGGATATAAGGAGATCACACTTGATATTAACCATCGGGTAGATGGGACATATTCCATTGAGAGGGCTCAGAGCCTCAGAATTTTTTTGAGCTCAAAGTCAAAATTGATATTTCTCTTATTCCTAGTTAAAATTCTGCCCTTTCACATGAAGTTTGGTTTTTATATTACTACTATTTCTAGTTTTGGGTAAATTTCGAGTCTTTTATAAAAAGTTTGATTTTAATGTTTTGCTCATTTCTCATTCTAAGTTTTGGGTGCAATTTCGTTAAAATTATGGCCTTTCATGTAAAGTTTCACTTGATGTTTCTCTTGTTTTTATTTCCAAATTTTGGTTGAATTTTAGACAAAAGTATTATGGAATATACAAAACTATTAATATATTTTACATCTAATAGTCAAGATTAATTACGACCACCTTGTAGCAAAAGTAAATAGTTTCATTATATACTTTTTCCAACTCGGGATTCGTACAAAGAGAAAGTGAGATTTTAGATGTTAAATGAAAACAATATGCAAGAGGAGAGAGATTTTAGACATAAGATCAAACAATATGAGGGAGAGAGAGAGTATGGGAGGGAAATTTTAGACATGAATCAAAAGGAATATGCGAGAGAGAGAGAGGATTTTGGTTTTCACAAAGAGGGAGTATGTGTTGGTTTGCATGATGAGAGAGTTAAAAGAGTGCCGTAGTGAAGCACATATAATAATGAAATAATACAAAGGAGGAAAATGTTTGGGCCAAACGAAAAGAAAGTGTAGGGAGAGAGTATTGGTTTTCTCAGTCTTTGAAAAACGGATCAATGACTTAGATTGGGCATCTCAAAAATTAGTCTGGATCAGTGAATCGGCAATCCAGATCACTATTTTTATTATGTAAAAAAAACAAGATTAAAAAAATA